CGAAAAACCCCCACCCCAACCCCTTCTGGGGTGCAGAGGAGGGGGACCCCGTGGCGTTGCAGGGACGAGAGCGGAGTGCGGGGCTGCATAATCACCCCCCAAGATGCATCCAGGCACTGCAGCAGGTTTATTTGAGGAAGAATAATGTACTGTCTTTGCTCTAATCTTCCGTGGCCATTCTGTTCACTCTGAAGCCTACTGATTACCATGGAAATGCCACATTGCTAACTGCCAGTCCTTTTAGCTGAGAGACTTTTCATCTAGGGCTGGAGGAGGCCCCCCAAGATGCATCCAGGCACTGCAGCAGGTTTATTTGAGGAAGAATAATGTACTGTCTTTGCTCTAATCTTCCGTGGCCATTCTGTTCACTCTGAAGCCTACTGATTACCATGGAAATGCCACATTGCTAACTGCCAGTCCTTTTAGCTGAGAGACTTTTCATCTAGGGCTGGAGGAGGAGGCTTGAGGGTATGTTTAGGGTCCAGGCTGGATCAGGGGTGGGGGGACACGGACACATACAACCCCCCCCGTCATCTCATCGGTACCACACTGAGGGGCTTCCCCCAGACTCCAATTTAGCGTCTTTTGCCTTTATTTTCACCAGATTTAGCCACGCCTGAGCAAGTGCCACCGTCCCCGACAGTCCCCCGTGCCACCACTACCCCCTTCCCTCCCTCCTCTTGCTGCAGCCTTGGGGACGCACTGCGCCAGGGTGGCTTTGCCACCCACGGGTGCCACGTCCTCGAGCCCACGGCAGCTCAGTCCTGCTGGTTGGCGCCGCACGGCCGCCGAAACTCCTGCCCGTGCTCGTGGATCCACTTATTCGCCACTGGAAGGGACAAGGACAAGGACCCCATCTGCCTCCGTCCCCCCTCTCTGACGTTTTTCCCCGTTATCCAGGATTTTTTGGGGTTCCCAGCCCCTCTTGCCTCCCCGCCCCATGTCACCCCGGGGTGACACCAGGCACCATCTCTCACCCCACTTGTCCCCTGCCAGGACGGGACAGCCAGCGTGCAGGGTGTCCTCGTCACCGTCCCCGTTCCTCCGCAGGTTCCACCAGAAGAGAGCTGCGTTCTGCAGAGCACAGAGGGGTCTGGCACCCCGAAACTGAGGTGGGAGCCCCGGGGTTGGGGCTTGGCACCCCAAAACAGAGCTTGGAGCCCCAGAACTGGGGTTTGGAACCCCTAAAACAGAGCTGGGCGCCCTGGGATTGGGGGTTGGCACCCCAGAACAGAGTTGGGAGCCCTGGGGTTGGGGGTTGGCACCCCAGGGGCTGGGAGCC